CACTGTTTCCAGTTTTATTTGTTGATTCAGAAATTATCCTTATATTAAAAGTAACCGAACTGCCCTGCGGTACGTGAACAAATTTTATCTAAAGATGAACATAAATGTGGAGCGATAGAACCCTTAAGGAGAAGGACAAGGCTGTTTTGTTACACTCTAGGGTAAGGTGATACCAGTATAGGTCTGGGCCTATAGACGTTGAATAAACTGATCCACTCCAAGTTCGTAGATATTTTGTTACAAGTACATAGCATGTGGAGTGACAATAGACTTATCTGCAATGAGGGTTACTCGCAGCTACGAATAGTAGTCCGTAGTCAGCGAAATGCACTCCCTCTCCAGAAGCAAGTCTCTCGCAGCTACGACACCGTTATTTAAAAGTAACCCATACATTAAGTAGTATAGGCTCATATGGGCTATATTTTCTGAATGTATATCCGCACAAGAACAAATCGGAGCAGGGATAAGTTCCATCGCCATTTCGACCTATGAGACAACCTGGCTTAAGAGGCCTGAGTAACTTGTCCTTTTTGACAGCCTCAAAGCTGAAATCGTAGGTGACGTAAACTAGAACAAGGGTGTACTTGCCGGTCTTCAGGCGTTTCTTTACATTGCAGCAAGTTGGAATTCCTTTTACTTCGTAGTTTGCTGGAGTTCCCGTCTGCCAAGACGCTTTCGAAGGAAAATTCATTCCCAGGGGTTTGGAAGCTACATGCTCTCATAGCAGCTTCGTTGTGTAGCTTAAAAATACACCAACTATGAAAGTCATAATATTAGGCGATCCCCACTATTCCTTAAAACAAACAAGAGATTCAAAACCAAACAAGATGGGAAGGATATATTTTCAACCTTTTCTCCAAGAAACAACTTATTTCGACACGGGAAACGCGTCTACATATACCCCGCAAAACGATCAATAAGAGAAAAAGTGACGGAGACATAGGTTCACAGTTAGAAATGTATTTTTCTTAGCCGATTTTGAGAATGTTCAGCAGATGGAAAAAGTATGGATCGGAGTCATTTTAAAGACTCCAGACAGTGTTTTGATTTCATGTAACTGCTAGGCATTTCGATCTGTGTTGCATAAATTCCGGTTCTAACATTACCTATTGTTAAATGCACCCGTTTAAGGTAGACACTTCTTTGTCATGTGAGTTTACTTTTACTTTCTACCACCATACGAAATGCTTTACTGGGAACCAGGCGTACTAATTTCTTGTGAACCTCAGACCGTTGAAGAATTCAAATTCCTCGCCACCGTCCACACAGGAAGCAGACCCGATACAATTCTAATGGACAAAATTGGCTACCTCCAGAAGATCAAGAAAGTACTGTCAAATCGCCCGTTCTATGCGTCATACGAATGTAACTTATTAAGAACTTGGAAATGCGAAGTTAATCCAGCTTTTCTGCAGTGAGACACTGGCGCAGTAATACGTATCGGTTGGCGCTCCGTGAGAGCTCCTGACGCCTGTTCGTTTCTGTATAAACGGTATAGTACATGACATAACAGACTTCCTAATTCCATTTAACCGTCACAGATGCGAAACGTCGAGACAATTTTTCACGTAAGTTCGCATCTGGATACTGTTATTTGTAAAAATAACTGTTTTCTAGCTCTTTGCCCGGCCTAGGTCATCTACTTACGGAGACCTTCTGCGTCATATAAGTTACTGTGCGACTCCTTTGTGTGTACTGTCCTCTATATTTACATATTTTTCGAAACCCTATACAAACAAGCCCATTTATTCGGCAGTGAAGCGAAAACCCAAAGCCTAGCAGAGGATGTCCAGAATGAAATCAGATTTCGAAAGATTAGGCGAGTTTTATTTAAGACAAATGGGCAAATGCAGGTACGAACACTTGAGGCGTCGGAGCCAAATAAGACGTGGGTTAAACGCCATCCAGCATGGCGTTGAGTTCCTCCAGGCTGAGCTCACCATCGCCGTTGGCATCAAACCGCTTTACCAATCTCTCGACTGCCTTCTGATCCAGATGGCTTCCCATTTCTTTCAGCATGGCACCCAACTCTGCAACACTCACTTTGTTGGAGCCGTCTGTGTCTAACTCCTTAAACATAGCCAGGACGCTGCGACTAAAACTGAGGAGGAAAAAGTGCAAATGACGGTTTTTGCGCCCATCGGGTGAGGAGACACCACAGAATAAGAAGTCAAAATAAAAAGTGTCATAGAAATTCCCTCTAAGACTGAAGTGAGGGCCTTCTAAGGAGTGCGTGGTTTGTGCTACAAAAGGCTCAAATTCGGGTTCACATCAATTCCTATTAGGCAATGCGCCTTACTAGGCAACGACCAAATTATTGCAAACTTTCGTGTACGAGAGGAGAACAAACGTAGGATACAGACTAAATTTTTCTAATAAAGTGTTAGGGCATTTTCCAATCAACAGTATATAGGCAGTAGAATCTCAATAATTTGGAATTTTATTTCTTGTAATATGTTTAATTCAAAATGGCGATCAAGTTGGAGTTAATTTTCTACCGTGACGGCTTTACCTGTTAAACGGGTTTGCTCCCTCAGTAAGCATGCGAAGCCACAGTATTTTGACAAAAACTTAGTTGAGATGGTTGCTTAAAATTTATCACTATATTTTAGTGAGGTTCATCGAAATTAAATAATTATTTGAGGCGAAAACCCAAACTTGCGTCTTTTTAGTGCATCTGGTGTACTGTTTCTAAGATGAATCAGATCCCATGAGCTTACCTCATTGTCGGAAATCTGAGAACCTATAAATTAAAACGAGAAGTGAGTCAAATCAAAAACGGTAGATCCTAATCGTCCTAATATGCTGAAGCATAAATAGAAGAACTGGCTTACTAGTACAGAAAAATACAGGTCTGTTGATTAACGGCATCTATTTATTCGCTTCGTAGCGTAAACTGGTTGGCAGGTCTGTGACCTCATAATGTGCCCATGCGCAATTTCTCTGTCCTATTGGCTGGATTAGTTTTCTGACCACGGAAGTGTGTTTTATTTAGCCCGCCTTTCGCAAAAATCTGCCTCTCTGGGGACCAAAGGGCAGCAGAATCTATGCCTATTCGACGTAGAGCGTCGGGAATATGTGAGCTAATATGAGATTTATGGCTAACGTTATAAGCGTGGGTTCAGGTCACGTCTTGACTGATTTTTTTATAAACAGATACGTCATTTTGAAGCAGCCATCGTGAACGCATCTTCAGAAGACCGTGCACCTTTAATGTTACTGTCGCATAGAGACCGATTCAAGGGTACATTTTGGTCAAATCAAAAAGATATGCGTCAAATATCTTGTTTCGAATGTTACATGAGTATCAAAAATTATAAAGCCTCCTATTCTTAACATGTCTTACAAATGAGTAACTCGTCTTTGTAAAGTAATAGCACGATCAACCACTTTTGGAAATGTCGGTCACGATAGCGTTTCTGAAATTTCATAACAATGTCAACGAATCGCCAAAGCAGCAGTTGGTATGCTAGAAATCCGGCCAATGAGCGTTTGAAAGGTTATTAGAATATTATGTTCTTTCCCTTGAAAAGCTCTCAAAAGGGGCCTTACTGGTGGTACATTTTTTGCGTTAATACGTAAATGTTGGCGGTAGTTTCAATTGATGGTTCTCATAGGGTGAAATGATTTTTTTATCAGGGCCGGATAGCTGAAAATATATGCCACGTTAAACGATAAATAAATATTCAGGACTTCCCCCCCCCTATGCGAAAATTATACTGCGGTTTAACGTACCTAGGCGAATTATTTGGGTCTTAGGTATAGATTTAGCATGGTTTGCGAAACAGACGAAATCGTTCTTTTGGATTATAGAACGGTTTTTATCACATGGACAGAGG